AACCACGGCACAACCCCCCCCCCCCCCCTACCCCCCCTCCTCCATACCACCACACACACACACTCTCTCTCTCTAAGGAATCCATCCAACATCGCCCACAACACCGAGCGAACGGAAATGACTCCCCCAAGCTCATCCAAGGGGCCCCCTTCTTCCTCGTCCCACCCCTCCCAAGAAGCGGACCCCCCTTCCCCTACGATCCAAATCCCGGCCCTTCGGCAGTACCCTCTCATAGTGGCCCACCACCGCGCCGCCGCGTGGCAGTCCGCACGGGCCCTCCTCCACTCCGTACGGGACACCCACCCGGTGGTCGCGGCCCTCCTGCACGGCCTCCTTCCTGAGGCCAACGGGTCCCAACGCCCCCCTGCGTGTGCGGTCTTCCCTACCGTACAACGGCTGGAAGGGCTGGTGGTGGCGCCCAGTGTGCGGGGGCTTTTTAGGGCGCTCCTGCAGGGCGTCCACGAGGGGCTTGGGGCGGCCGCGCCGACGATCGCGACGACGGTGTTCCTCCCAGGGCTCCTCAGCTCGCCGCACGACGGGTGGCTAGACGTGCTGCAGGATTCGCGCTGGCGACAGCAAGCCGCGACGCTGCGTGTGGTGGGGTATGATTTGAACCCCATCACCATGGCGGTCGACCTCGAACACCTCCGGTCGCGGTTGAAGGGAGTGGGCAACGACGACGAGAACGGGCCCGCAAAAAAAGTGCGGGGCGTCAATGTGGTAGTGCTCGCCGCCTTCCGAGGCCGTTTCCCGGTGAATGCGCGTCAAGTGCGTCGATTGGTAAAGCAAAACACGTGGGATCGGAAGCAGAGGTGGTCATTTCGACCGAATACTGCATCGGTATCTTCAGTCGAGACCCTAGTAGTGGAAATCCATCTCCCGACTATGCGGGCACTCTCAGTTGGTGGGGAAGCCGGCTCGAGGAACCCTCCTGCAGACCTTATTGTAACGTCTTTTGATGGACCAGGGTTCCTTGGAGGCGCCGTCGCCTACGCCTCTGAGCCCCACCTCGCCGCAGCTATCCAAAAAAACCTTCAGTCGATGCCGACCGCAGGCAGGATCCGAAAACTGGAGCGTTTGCTCCGACATCTAGGTTTATTGATGATGTCGAACCGGCTGGACTATGGGTATATGACTCTGGTTATTAGTTCCTTTTTTATGGTTGGAGGGCTTGCTCGCCGGTTTGCGACCGCTGTAGTGCATAATTCAGGTAATGAAAGTGACAAGAAGGCAAAGACCTTGGTAGAGACGCCACGGGCGCGTGCAGTTGACGTCCTTTATGATGTTATTATGTCCCGCAAAGAAATGAGTCCGCGGTTTGCCACGCTTCCACCTTTATTTTCCACTCCGTCGTGGCCTGCGAAATATCGTATCCGATGGCCTCCTGGCTTATCGTTTGGGAGTACCGCGAAACCCTCGACGCGGAGTGGGGACGGGCGGCCATCGTGCGACTCCGCTGATTGGATTTCAAACTTTCTAGCCGAGCAATCGCAACGCCGCGACGCGGAGGCGTTATCGTTGTGGTCGTTTCTGTACTTCCTGCCATCCTACATCACGGTGATCTCGGCTGGCGAGCCTGACGACCCCGAGGCCTGCGTGGAGGCCGCGGCGTCGGATATCGTGCTGCGGGCGGTATGCCCCGCCCAAGTGGTGCAACGGTTGCAGCGCGAAGGCTTTGCCGCCACGCAGGCGCGCGCCCTTTCGTATCGGCAGCCCCCTCCCCCCCCTCTTCCCACGCTTAACGGGGCAGGCGGTGGGGTGGGAAAAGGTCAACCGTCCGACCACGACGCCGATCTAGAGGCCTATCAGCCCCATCGTGTGCAAGATGTGGTGTACTTCGCGGACTGCCCGAAGTGTGGCGAGGTGGCGGGGCAACTGGTTTTTGTTCCCCTATCCCCTCACATGGGGCCCTCCGCGCACGCGCATCTGTTGAGTGTGCTGGCGGATATGCCGCAGCGGTGGTGGCGCGCAACGGCCCCACCTTCCTCACCACAGCGACGACCGTACGATACGCCAGCGGTGCGAAATCTCCTGAACGGCATCATCGATCGCCATCGCGCACGGAACCTTCAACGTCGAAAGGGTGGTGTTGGACGTCATTCCTGGTTCCGTGTGATGCGCTGGGGGCAAGATCGAAAAGTCAGCAATGCGGTGGAGATCTCACCCGCTCCTGATCCGTCGCCCTCGACGTCGCTCGAAAAGTTGGAGACGGCAGACAACGCACCACGGTTTTCTGATATACGTGTTGCTGAAGATGCTCTTTACAAAGAGTATCCACCCCTTTTCACGTACTTGCTCTACGGTACACAGATTGTACGTATGCTGATTTCAATGCTTTAGTTTGTATATAGTGCATTGTCTCCTATTTGACTGGTATCGTTACCTACCGACTTTGTCGTTCTATTTTTTTATACTTACACAAGTGAAAGCTAAAAGTCGACTAACTACAAACTTATTTGGCTTGCTTTTGAGAACACTAATGCTTAGAGCAGCACCCGGGAGCCTTCCTCAGTAAGCTTGTAGTGCGGTCAATGAAAATAAAATCGAAAAGAAGCGGGGAATCTTCACTCCTTCTTCATATGTATGGCTTGGGGTAAATTAGCACCGTTGTGCTCCCTTCGACAAAAATTTACACACCAGTTGAACTCTAATAAATATATGTGTGCGTCCTGTTCAGAATGCTGAAAACAAAAACCTTAATGTTGAATAAAAATCAACTCTTCGTTTTCCTTGCATGATTTTTTTTGTTAAAAAAAGAAATTCAACAGTCTGATTAGTTCAAATAGAACTCAATATAGGTTTAAGACATCTGTGTGCTATTATCTTTATTCCTTCACATGGGAGGTTTATGTATCTTTATATAAAAGTAGGTGTTTCATGTTCTGAATAACAACAAAGAGACTAGAAAAAAAAAAATGAATGGCTTTTCGACACTGCTGAACTTTTACCTGATGTCCCACATCAATACAGGGAGTGCCTTGTTAGATATGCTCCTGGTCATGCTTATTCCCCTCGTGTACGACGGGATTCTCAAAACTCTCGAGCAATGCTTGTTGCTTCCACTTCAAAGGCTCGCCCAGCATTTTCTAAGGGGAAAGGCCAAGACCTCCATCATTGCCAACTACAACACCATGCATGGCGTCTCGCTTGATCTAAACGAGAACCTCGTGCTGCAGGAGGCGCTCATGCACTACGTCGGCCATATGGTGAAGCCCACTTACCCATTTGGGAGTTATCGCTTCACTCGTCTCGCCGCGAAGGGCCCGACGGCGCGAAGCAACTCCCTGGTCGACACCCTCCGCCACACCTACTTCTTACAAACCATTCCGAGTAGCCAGGCGGCTGTGGAGCTCGCTCCTGGTCTCTCGTTGCGCATCTTCAACGATGACGGGCAAAAGAAGGATGAAAATGCGAGACGAAATGGCATGGGCTCCTTGCAAGCCGGGGGTGGGCCCACCACCACGCCCAACCAACGTGGGAAAGGCGCCAAGACTTACCGGAAGACGACCTTGGTGCTCGAGACAAACGCCAACGCCTTTACGCGTGAGGATGCCGTGATGACGTTCACCCAAAAGGCATTCCAGGCCTACAAAAATAGCATCAAACGGGCGATGGACTCGGAGCGGTACCTCTTTCAGCCCCTCCTCCCGCAAGGGGGGATGGGGGAAGGAAAAGTCGGCGTGGCGGTCCGCCCGACGATGTGCCAACGCTACCCCCTCTCTCTTGAGAAAACCTTCAATACGCTCTTCTTTCCGGAGAAAGAGAAGCTGATTCACCTTATTCATCAATTTGAAACCCGCTCGGGGAAGTTTGCCGTACCGGGCTTCCCTCACAAGTTGATTCTCCTCTTATATGGACCTCCTGGAACGGGGAAGACGAGCTTGGTCAAAGCCATTGCCGCGCACACTAAACGCCACATCCTTTCCATTCCCCTTTCCCACATCAAGACGAACCGCGAGCTGTTGAATCTGATGTACGATGGTCGGTTTTCCGTTGTTAACGGGAAGTTCGACAACGAAACGAATCGTCATGGTGCTGTTGAGTGTCTACGGCCTGACAAAGTTGTCTACATGCTAGAAGACATTGATGCGGCCTCGGAAGTCGTTCGCAATGCCGAAAAGGTCGACAGTTCGAGCGCGGAGAAGAAAGGCGAAGGGGAGAGCAAAGCTCCGAGCTCCTCCACCATAAACGAGGATATGACGACCGCAATGCAAGCCTGTAACAAACCCACCACGGACGTCTCTGAGGATACGACAAGCGACAAGTGCAAGTCGCAACCAAGGGTCGAAAAGGTAATCATTCCAGCTAAAAGCAAATATCAAAGGCTATTGGAAGGCGTGGTGGAGGATCCGTTGAGCCTGAAGGGGCTTTTTGAGGCCTTTGGGGGGATATTAGACGCACCAGGCCGTATTGTAGTTTTGACAACAAATCATGTCGATTACCTAGCGCCTGCGTTGTTGAAGCCGGGGATTATCACCATGAAGCTCTATATGGGAAACTTTAGTGCGGAGTGCGGGATCCAGATGGTTAAGCACTACTTTCGTAGCGATTTGGAAGACAACCCTAAAGAGGATGAGGATAATAACGACGCAACCGCAGGTGAGAATCCATTCACAGAGGAAGATCACAGGTCCCGTCAAGAGACTCTAGAAGAAATTGGAAATGTCATTTTGGCCGCGCAGAAATCTGGTGCAGGATTCAGCCCGGCGGAAGTCGAGCAGATGTGTGCGGAAAACAATTCATTGCAAGAGCTTCTTGTCGCTCTGAAGAGGGGAAGTCGTACCGAGTTTTTCTAGTAAAGCGAACAAGACTCAGGAAGAAGGAGAATAGGTATGTGTGTGCTGTGTATAATACTATCTTAGCAAATGAGTATAAACGCCAAATCACAACAAAAAGGAAGATATAAATGTATCGTCGACCACAAGAGGGTCTTGTGCATCTTTCCCAAAGGGAGTTACTAGTTTTAACTCGGAATCCTCGCTACAATCCGCCACTTTGCGGGGTAGTATTCAGCAAGAGCAGCTCTTGTATCAAAAAAGTATATCCTCTTTTCCTTTTTTGGATGTAGGGATGTGGCCCTCTCTTTGGAAGGGTTCAAAATTGCAATTCAATCTAGCGAAAGCGGGAGGGAGGCAAAGAAACACCAGGTAATTTTGCTAGCGCTGGTGAACTCTCCGTCATCATCAGTTACACAGCGCGAAAATAGCATAAACCATTTGAGATCCTTTATGCAATATGTGTCACACGGGCAAAGCTTTTGTCAAGGGCACTGTGGATGGGGAATTTATTCTTTGGTTCTTATTTCCCCCCTTTTCTTTCAGTTAATTAGCCTTTCCAGACTCAGTCTTCATATCCCATGGGGCTGCATCAGTTCAACACATCAAAAGAGTATTTTTCATAAGCATAGTAACGATATATAAGCTTAAGGGGGGACAATGACGGATCCAACTAGGCGCGATCCTACCGAATTTTTGCGTGTGTTACGCCGCATGGCGAACACCACGTCATGGCAGAAGGCCATGACGTTTGCTTTCAAAGGTCGCATGGTTGGATATCGTTTAACACTTGAGCATTACAACACCATATTGTTTTCCCAATCGATGTGGGGGCGCGCACTCGAGATCATTCGTGTAGTGCGCGCAATGCAGGAAGATAACGTACAGCCGAACGGGGCAACCTACTACTACATTGTTAATGGAATGGCCAACGCGGATCATGGCTACAACTACGACTTCAAGCTTAATCACCGCCTCGAAAAGCTCCAACACTGGCGGGTGGCGTTAGATGCACTCGAGGCATGCGAAGCGAATGGTTTTGATTCTACCGATACGATGCACAACTCTGTCATCATAACCATGACCATACCAGGATTTAATCATTGGGAAAAAGCTCTAAAGATATTAGACAAGATGATAACGGAAAATCGTCAAATGCATCCCACCATGGTTCGATTTTTCCATGACTGCTTGATTCGAAACAAGAGACCACGAGAGGCAAGTGAGCTGCTGCGGATGGCCGCGGAGCGCGGTGTGAAGGGGTACGAAAACGCGTGGGAGCCGGACGTGTTTCGAGGTCGCCCGACATCGAGTGAAATCGATGAGATGCGCAAGGATCCATCTAAGAAGGCGGCCGCGGCGTTGCTTGCGCTTCACCTCCGCAAAGATCAAGAGCTCCTTCCGGAGCAGCTGCACGAGCTTCTCGAGCAGGACAGTCGGAAAAATATAATCACAGAGGAATCCCTCCCGCAGCCCTTCACCGCCGGCCTGCACTCAACTGAGATCAACTCGGCATTTAGACCACGAGTATACCGGCAGTTGTGGTATCAATGGCATCAGATTGCAAACAAATATCGTCCTCGGTCATCGCTGAAGCGTCGGCAGCTTGCACCAAAGGATTCGCCCACAGGCATACCAGGGTGGAACCGCATCTAGACGGGAGAAGCAAAGAGAAAGAAAGGGGATTATCGTGCAAGAAGGAAGAGACTTTCATTTCTGTCCTTTCTCGATTGCTGTTGTGCACTTGACACGTTTCACGTTGGTTTATTATTTGGCAACTACCTTTCGCGTATCCTGTAAAAACATAAGGATTAAATATAACCATACCATTGTGTGATTGAGCTTCCGATCTTCCCCTCTTCTTTCCACAAAATAATACCCCTTACAGTGGTCCTTTCCCTGTTATTACACTATTCTGTGTTGTTTTGAAAGGAAGGAGAGAGGACAGGGAGGGGGATGCATGTGAATCCGCTGCTACAAATACCGCTTCTGTCAGGTGTGTGCTCGTTTTTTCCTCTACCTTTTCTTCTCGGCTTTCCTAGCGTCTGTGTTTTACAGCGTGTATCACCATCATCACCGCCGTCATTTTTTTTGGAGGGGGGTTTGCACATCTTCGATTTTAGATTTAGAAAGATCCGTTGCGTGTAGCCCGCGCGTTGGGTCCACGTGAGAGTGTAAACGAAAGAACGTAGGAGAACTCAGACGATCACATGTCGACCTGGGCGGCGCGGTTGGCGATGAGCAGTACGCCCCCGCGCTCTGGCGCCCCAGGCGGGGAGGCGAAGACGCCCGTCTCGGGTAACAGCCACACCCCTAGCGAGGCCTCCGCGAGTTCCTTTTTTAGCTGTTACGCCCCAGCCTCAACCGAAGACACGCCCTGGCTTTCCAAAAGGGAGCCCTTTCGGAATGAATTACGACAGATGGCGGTGCAACACAACCGCGATCTCGGCAAGATTCCCATGCTCCGCCTACCCATGGACGCGTGGGAAACCATTTCGTTTTTTCTTTCCTTCACGGAGCTACTTCAGCTCGCGGGCACTTGTCACGCGTTGTGGGATGCAATCCTCCACCGCGATAGCATCTGGGAGCAGCAGCTGGGGTTCTGGCATCGGGATATCATGGACCTCCGAGGGGGGGCCCTGCTTCTCACCGTCTTCGTCTTTGGGCCGAAATGCACGGGGTACGAGCGCTTTAAGCGGCAGCGCCGGCTTTACGCCCTCGACGCCCATCGGGAGTGGCATTTCCGCGAGCTGGAGAGCCTCGAGGATCGCGCCACCGGGTTCTTCACCGTGCCGTTGCATCTGGGGAAGGAAAACACGGAAAGCGATGCGGCCGCGCCTATCGCGTTGGAACTTTCCCAGACGACTTTGGGCAGCACGCCCCGCATCCCTGGCAGCCCCCCACGAGTGCGAATGCCCGCCGTTGGACAACCGTTTGTGGGTGCGGAGGATTCCTCGCAGAGGCTGCGGATCTGGCGCCCGATACGCCGCGGGGAGGATCCTACATCGGATGGGTTTGGCAACGCATTGATGCCGCTCAATGAGAGGGAATCCGGAAGGGAAAAGGCGGGGGGGGGATGGAGCCGTCACGCGCTCGATGCCCCAACCTCACTGGAGGAAGAGGAAGCCATGCTGAGTTACGCCTTGGCGTGCTCGGAGGCTGAGATGAGCGGGCTTTCACCCCCTCCACCGCCTTTTATCTGGACCTCTTCGAAAAACAAAAGCAATCGATGCGACGCCTCCAAAGAGAGCCTTCGACGTTCCTATAGTGGACTCGCGCACGACCTTTCGCTGGGGAACTCCTTCGCAGGCGGTGGAGGAGGAAGAGGGGGGGAGATCCATTATTTGAAACCGAGTGAAATCATGACCTTAATTGATCTCATCAATAGTGGCACCCCCGTGCAATCCCTCATCCCGCTCATCGAGGTAACCACGCGGGAGGATGAGCTCGTGTTGCTCGCCCTCACGGAAACCCTCAAAGGGGCACAGCGGCGACGGCTTCACCTCGGCAACCACCACCGCGCCCTCGCGAATAACGGCCAGACGACGCGGCGGCGGCTCGGCCCCACTTCCTTACGAAGGCCTCGCCCTCCTGCCGCGGCGTCTTCGTCCTTTTCCCCTTCCCCGATCTCGACCTCGCCTTTGGCACCTTTCCCTCCTGTTTCTTCTCCATCGTGGGAGGATTCGACAAGCCCCTCCCCGGTGCTCCCACCACCCCCAGTTAACTCCATGCTACGGGGGTTCACCGGCGTCCTTTTGGAAGTCTACCGGCGGGAGATGTATCGCTTCTGTGAGGAATTCCTCGGCAGCTCCCAGAGGCTGGATGACTTCATCCTCTTTGATGCCGCGAACAGCTCATGGTGGAGAGGAGGAGGAGGAGAAGGGGCGGCGTCTCTGGGGTTTGCCACGGGAACGCGTTTTTTCCTCGCACCAGAGCTCTGTCGAGGTGGGCGGGTGGGGTTGGTTGTGGTAGATGCCGTTCGGATGTTGATTGTGGTGGAGGATGAGAAGATGGCGCGGGATGATCCCGCGTGGATGCAAGGCTACGCCCGCGTGGATCGCGGCGGGCGGTTGGTGATGCCGGGCTCCGGGTATAACGCGCAGTACTACGAGCGTAGTGAACTGCGTCCGCTGTAAAAGGGTTGATTGGGGGGCTCTTGCTGGAAAAAGAGGGGGTGGGTGTGTACGCGAAAGTGTTTTTATCAAAACCTTGTCTGGGTTATATATATACACATATTATTATGTATACCCATATATGCAATATTATATTATAGCTCCTATTCCTGAAATGTGGCTAGTCGAATGCGGCGTAACGAGAAGGGAGAAGAAGGAATCGTCATGAGGAAAAAAAGGATGCTAATGATAGTACGCAATAGAACTTTTCATCATTGTTTTTTTTTCTTCCTTGAGCTGGGAAAAGGGGGAAAGAACGTCCAGGTGGCTACAAGAAGCTATTAAGCTCACCACATTGTTTTTTTTCCCTTCCTGGGTCCAATCCTAGACAAAATTGTCTAACCACGTACAAGCACTTACCTTGACAGAAGAAAAAAATTAAAAAAACGCATACCGCGTCGCGTCATCCCCATTCGACGGATGTCCTCTGTACTAGAACCCTTTGACCCCCCCGCCCTCCCAACCCCAACACCGGCGACCGATGTCAACACCGGGGCGTATTTCTCGTCCATTACCCCGCACACCGAGGCATTTGAGGCGAGTGATGGGGTGGTGCACATGGCCGTGAGCGGTGCGAATATGTGGATCGCCTTGGCTAACGGCGGGGTGGAGGTGCGGGAGGTGCATACGGGGATTTTGCAGCACACCTTTTCCCCCGCCCCGCGGCCGTCAAGCAGCACGCGGATTTGGTGTATTCTTCCCGTGCGCCGCGCGCGGACCGCCTCGGACGAGGAGGCGGAGGAGGAAGAACCCCAGGTGTGGTTGGGGTTGTCCACGGGGACGATTGAGGTTTATCACGGGATTACCTATACGCTACTCCGGCAACTACACAAACACCTTTCCGGGGTGTACTGCCTGGAAGGCTGTGGGAGTGGTTGGAAAGGGTGTGATGAGGTCGTCTACTCCGGCTCAAGCGACTTTCTCATCGCGCAATGGGGGGTTGAAAAGGGGCAGTTGCTTCGACTTTTGAAAGGGCACGCCAACTACGTCCGGTGTCTTTACGCGGAGGGGGCGGTGTTGGTGAGTGGGAGCGACGATCGCACCGTGAGGGTGTGGGATCGCGAGTCGGGCGAGACGCTGCGGGTGGGGAAATTTCACGTTCCAACCGGCGGTGTATCGGCGATCTGTCGAGTTGGTGTGAAGATGTGGTCCGGTGATGATAGCGGGGTGCTTCATATTTGGCCGATACGCGATTGCGCCGTCGCGTCCACGTTTCACCCCCATACCGGACGGATCACGACGCTTCAAAAGATTGGTTCGCGGGTGTATTCCGGCTCCGCGGACGGGACCATCGCGGTCTACAACGCCGAGGATGGCGCGATGCTCGAACGACTGAGCGATCACGCCGCAGGTGGTTCGCGCGTGGTGATGGTGCGGTGCGCGGTCGAGGTGGATCGCCATTACATCTGGAGCTGCGGCGCGGATCAAACGATCCGTTGTTGGCACCACGACGAACCCATCCCGATGAACCGATTTCAAGAACGACTTAACGACATGCGCTGGTACTACACGACGCAGAAACCCTATCAAGAGGCGAATGAGCGCCTGCTCGAAACCCACCGTGAGCTGTCGGAGTCCGTGCTCCTCTCCCAGGGCACCGAGGAAGACATCCGCGCCTACATCGACAGCACCGAACCCGATAAGCGCAGCACCGCCGCCAAGTGTTGGCTTCTAAACGCCAAGGTAAACGAGGCGAACCGGCGCGTCGCGGGGTTGGAAAAAGAGCGCGGTGAGCTTGATCGCCAGATTCTCGAACGAAAGAAAGCCCTGGAGCTGGCGCAGAGTAACTTGAAGGCGATGACCGACGCCCTTACGAATGCACGCGCCAATCCCACGGCCGTCGCGCCTTCGCCTCCCTCCACCAGCGCGGTGGGTTCGACGCCGGCAGTGGTGATCCAGCCGTTGCGTCCTGTCGGCGTGGAAGTCCCCGCCACGCCGCCGCCGGCGAGGGTGACGTTTAGTACGAGTTATGAGCCCGTGCTGGCGGGGGGACCCCCGCCGCCGCCGCCACCGACTGGGACTGCTAAAGCCCCGTCGATGAAGGCCGCATTCAACGTCCTGGGGCTGCAGAAACCATCGCTTTCTCGAGAAATTGGAGATAACACGCCGCTGGAGAAACCACTGAAGCGCCGTGATTCCTTTTGACCCCCCGCCCCCTACTCCTCTGAAGCTCCTTCCAAGGAAGATTAAACCCTATATAGTATCAAGTTTTCATAGATTTATTTTTTTTAATTGCGTGTGGTTGGGGGTATCGCCATTGATAGAACATTGTGGATGATTTGGAAAGTCATTAGGGTAGACAAAGAGTCCTCCTAGTGCTCTCAAAAGAAAAAATGCCGTTTCATGCTATAGTTCCATTTTATTCATAAAATATGAGCTAAATTGTCGCGTTTATATCAGCGTGTATATAGGTGTATGGTGTTTTTTTGGGGGGGGGAGGGGGGGGGGAGAAGAATATCGATTGTTGTTCCACCAAAAATCTTCATCCTTACATCATTCACATGAATAAAAAGAAAAGCAATAGTTAGCCATATATATTCCCCTTCAATAATTAGTAGCTTTATTTTGTGTGGAACGGAATCATTACTCGTTGCGCAGACTTTAATAGACAAACATTCTTGACAAGAGGAAATGTTAGGCGGGCATCGGGATAGCCAACGCCAAATTACACCCATTTTGGATGCTAATTACCAGGCCCCTTCACCGAAATACCGGAGTCATACTACTACTCACAACAAAAAAACGACTGGCTCTACTAGGAAAAAGCCTATCCAACGCACAGGACCTCTCTTCGGTGCCGTAGATACTAATCGTAACTTGCGTGCGGCGGGTGACTTAATCGTCAATGATAAAGTAGTCCAACTGGCGTCTCCGCCCCGGGCCATGGCGTTGTCATGTGACCTCATTTGGGTTGCATATGATGATGTGAGGTTCGAACTTCGCAATGTGCGAACCGCCGAGGTGGTCAAAAGGTTTGAATGCGGGGACATGGTCAAAGTAGCCGAGAAGCCGTCGTCGAATAGTGGGGGCCGAACCCATGCCCTCCTTCTCCCTGCAACGGGCGATCCCGTCGCCGAGGAAAGCCGCCCCAGCTTACTGGCCGCGACCTACGACACCAAGCGCCCCTCACCCCAGGTCTCCGCGGTGTTGGCCCTCCAGACGTCCGCCGGGGAGCCGCAGGTGTGGCTGGGCCTCTCCGACGGGACGATTGAGGTCCGTCACGGGCGGACCACCGCGCGGCTCGCGACGCTGTGCCGCCACACCGGCGGCGTCCTCGGCCTGGCGGAGTTCGGCGGCCTGGTGTACTCGAGTG